AATATATTCGAAACTATCGCCCAGCTCTAGTTCATATGTAAATTTGATAATAATACTGAGAATAGAGAGCAAAGGATTGAATAGGCAAAGGATTTAAATATAAGGCAAAGGATTCAAATACTTCAGTACAGTTTTGGTATGAACATCCTGACACATAGAAACATGTGCATTTGTGAGGATCTAAATAATGAAAAATCATTGTCTTTGTGTGTGTGAGTGTGTGCGTCCTGTAGATTCATAGTTATAGTTACAGTTGGTATAGCCTCCCTTCATCTTTATTGATTTTAATCACCAGAAAGTTATATTACACTTTCCTTGCAAACACTGCTAGGAGTAGTGATGGGTAATATCAAATGATATTTAACGGTATTGTAATTGTATTGAAAATTTGTATCATAGATCTAAACCACCCACCAATTAATTTGATGTGTGGGTGGGTGGGCCTACTACTCCTTTATTTCAAAATTGTGAAGATTTTTCCTTGTGTATATCTTTTGGAGGTGCATCCGCAAAAATTTTTCCCCACGAATTATACCGCCTGTAGTACACTACAATCTTCCTCTACCATCAAACCTTACCAATTCTATATCTTGCAGGGTTCAGCAATCTTGGACTTCTTGGCAGGAGAATCCATATAAGACAAAGGAGGGGTTCTCATTGAAGATGAGTGGAATAGAGCACAAGCGATTTCTTTCACTTTTGCAGTTAATAGATCGTTATTTTTAAACGACAAATAAGATTGCTAAATACTAAGTGAAGTTTATATATGAGATTGATTAACAGTGGCTTAAATGAGTAGTGTCATTGCATTGCACATCTATAGGCAGTAGCACTAGTCCGCAACTTAGGGAATAAGTCCTCATTCATAAATGCTCCAAAACCAAGTGTTTTGCACAAAGGACATGATAATTGAGGGTCTGTATAAGTAACTGATGAATCATTAGACAAATTGCAAATGCTGTCTAAAACATATGTACGAAATTGTCTTTCACACTCAACACAACTTGAAATAACAGCATTTGTTTCAACTGTGTTAAAATGATATATGTCATTATGAATACATAAGATTTACCAAAACAAAATTTGGTTGTAGCAATGGTACCACCACTATTACCAGCAATAGCTGTCATGGCACATCCAGCTTATTTTTGCTATAAAATAAGGAAAATGAACACATATTGGTTAGCATGTATACTATGTAAACCTAAAAATACACCCCATGCACTCAACTTAAAATTACATTGTCATTTATAATTTCTTACTAACTTTTTACAAGTAAAGGGCTTTCTACAGCTTGTTCCTACTAGGAATAAAGCCATGTGATGAGTAATACTCAAACCAATCTACCTGTAATCCTTCATCGGATCATTTATCAGAATGTACTTATGTTATGCACATATATACATAAGTACATATGTAGATGTGCATAATTGCAAATGTAATACCAACATGTGGCACATACTTGTAACAACCATACCAATGATACCATAGGGTGGCTAGAAATGGAATTGATAATTTTTTGAAGTAACTAAAGTTTTTAAAATGGCAAATACAAACAAGTGGCAATCACTTAAAGACACCAATGATACCATAGTGTGGCTAGAAATGGCTTCAAAGCTATTGCCAAAGTAAAACCTGCCAATCATAAAGTGACAAAACTCACGCCCTCCAAAGTTACTCTTCATAAGTGACTATTGTGATCATATTCCCTTTAGTGTATACTGTTCTGTTGTCGCTAGAAGATCCAAAGTGACTGATGCAGCAGCGGGACTCATGAGTGCGGCTAAGTTTGTAGGAGCAGGAGCTGCTACTGTTGGTGCTGGTGGCAGTGTCATCCTAAGCAACATGTTGCTGAAGGTAGAGACTCTAAACTTTTAGCAATAAGTTCCCTGACAAAGGCACTGGCCTAGTATATTGTGTGATGCAGGCTATACAATTACGGATCATATTTATTTTCTGATTTATTTGAAAAAGTATGTCTTGCATATTTTAAATAGGGCTGAAAAGGATATTGTTAATTGTGATCTGTTACTTCCACTTAAGGAAGTGATAGGATATCCGGATATCCTGAATGACCCCGCCCACTTAATTAAATAATTAATTAATTTTCCACCCACACACTTAATTATTTTTAAAAAATCTTTTTCAGTGTCAAAAAATTACTTTTTAGACAGATTCTTTTGTAAAAAAAATTAACATATCAACATTCTCTGGACTTAGGCTGGCTCTTTGTTGATTAACTGTGAGTCCAGCAGCTGAGAATATCCTTTCTGCAGGGACTGATGTAGCTGGAGTACTTAAATATCGTTTTGCCAATGAAGCTAACAGGGGGTACTTACTAGAATGACTCTCCACCAATCCAGTACATTTGTATCAGAAGGAAGTTGTTTTTCATCAAGAAATCAATCAACTTTTCTCCCAGGACAGTTCTTATCAAGTAATTCATTCTTTGAAGTAAATCGAATTGTTTCCGGATTGTAATGGGATCTGTGTCCATCCATAAGCAAAATAACAGGTCTGGTAGTAGGTATATACTTGAGAAAATGACCCTTAAACCATAGATGAAACAATTCCTGATCCATCCATCCATTATGTGACAAACCATATGCTGTACCTGGTACCTCTCCTTCTGCAAATGTAGGATTAAACCTTTTCCGGTCTATGATAACAAATGGTGGTAGACAAAAACCAGCTGGACTAACCACATCCTACAACAGTAAACTGGCCTTTCAATCCTGACGATAACATCATTGACCTTCTTTCTCCTTTCAAAAAAATTCCTTTTGACTGATCAGGCTCCATTGCCACCCCTGTTTCATCCAGACATGGGGCAAGCACTTAAGCACTTGTGCTTATAAGCACTTTAAGCACTTTTTTGTAAGTGCTTGAAGTAGTGATGGGCGATATTATATTTTATGAATTGATATGATATTTATCGATATTAGACAAAATTCAGTGATTATTGATAAATTTCGATATGATAACAGACCACACCTATTTAATAGTTAACAAACTATAATAATGGTTAATAAACCAGAATAACACTGGGGGTGGGACATGATCAAGTCTAGTCTGAGTTCTTATTCAAAAATAGGAGCATATCAACGTGTTTTGCTTTTATCCTGCTTCTTTTGACAGACAAAAGCTCTCCAGCTTTGCTGAACAACCTTTCGGAAGGTACAGAGGTAGCAATGATTCCAAGATATTTGCAAGCAGCCAAAGCAAGTGTGAGATAAGCAAGTGAGTTGTTTTTCCACCACTGCAAAGGATCAATATCTCTCAGCTGTACAGGTGATCTTAAATATTGCTGCATTTCTGTATAGATGGTATTGCTGGGAGTTCTTTGTGAAGACACTTCTAAAACTTGTTGATCGAAGAACTGCCATAAAGGGCTTTCAGAGGATGGGCCAGAAGTAAGTGAGACATCTGTATCTGTAGAGAGTGAACTAGGTTCTAGACTTGATATTTCCCCCATTATGTACCTAGCTGCCTTATCTGCTGCTTCTTTATTAGCAAACGCTAGCTTCTTAAATCTAGGATCGAGTAAAGTTGCTAGGGCTAATAGTTCATGTTCCTCGATATTCAGAAACCATATTCTCATATCTGAGATTAGATTTTGTGCCAACAAATAACCATTTTGATCCATTTGCGATGATGTCAGTCTTTGCAATGCCTTTGACACAGGAATTATCTTTGAAGCAGACGTATACTTCTCACCAGACATTTCACGAGTTGCTGCTTCAAATGGTTGCAAAGTTTTGACGATCTCTTTAAGCATAGAATTCTGATTGCTAGGAATGATTAAATCATTCCTATCAAGTAGGCATAACATTGTTGTGATGGCTTCATATTGTTCTATATACCTTTCTATCATATAAAAGACTGAATTCCAGCGCGTATCCACTTGCTGTATTAGCTTGTGGTTGGGTAGACTTAAGCGATTCTGGTTGATGGTTAAGCTTTCGGTTGCTTTAACACTTTTTGTGAAAAAACGATACTATACTCTTGATCTTAGATACCTGCTCAGCCAGTTGGGGATCTTTCTGGATTGAAGAGGAAACAATCAAGTTAATAGTATGAGCAAAGCATGCAATGTGGCTCCAATTGCTGAGCTTTATTGCACGCTTGATATTGCTAGCAC